CTTCTTTTTGTCTAATTTCTTTACATTACCATAGATAACGTGGTTGCAGTTCAGTCTCCAGACTCCACAAAAACCAAGTCCGTGAAGCAATTACATACAACAACTTACATATAGATTAGCACGTACGTTGATTTCAGATACTTTAATTGTGCAACACCTAATTATGTTTGCGACAAACAAATTGTTTATCTTCACTAACCAGACTTAGTATGCTGTTATGTCCTTTCTCTAAACATTACGTTTGAGATACTTTAGAAAGATATGTGTACGAGAATTTAGGATGACTTCATATTTGTTTTCTGCAGCACATTTCCATTGGTATTTCTTTAGTTATGGAATGATAGGTCACACTGTTTGGTCGTGTTCAACATGTATCATGAAAGATAAACGACGTATTTCTCCATTAGTAACACATAGTCAGAAAAGAGTTGTTATAACATTCGCAAATCAATAGGTCTGCTGATCCGATTTAGCAACAACACTAATGGCACACTTTTACTGTTGGATTTTGTTAACCGACGAACACTTCCCTTCGCAAACAGTGAGATTGTTTATTTGGTCGCCTTGCATTGTTCATCATCTCATCAGTTATTATAGTGGAACATATGTGCATGTCACATTCTTTATTTCTCAGCAATTTCAAATATTGTTGAGAGCATACTGAAAGTTCAAATGAGGGCTGGGATAAGGCAGTTAAAGACAGGTCACTTCGTCAATCATTTGGAGTTTTCGATGACTTCTGTGAAAATATAAGTGATTCATGTATCGTAAGAATTCACTGACTGAAGGTAGAGAGGAAGATAACTGTTATATGTAGAGCTTGGATTCTTACTATACTGCATACAACTTGAGCATTCAAACGCTGGTGAGAAGGAATTCTATTTCAAACAGTGTCAAGTATGGTACAAATTTATCGGGTATTTATGGCTTTTTAGTAGAACAAAATCATCATTATAGTCATGCAATCCGCGTACAGGTGGTTTAAGCATTTGTACAATGCGGAAGCTATATGTAGAGATTTAGGAATATTCTTCCAAAACGTGATTGAATGGAAGATCCTCAGCTGGGCTTCTTTGAGCTTCCTTAAGCTCACCCATGGGCCACTCTCTCAACAAAATTATTAAACTGAAAGTATTTCAATTAGTTTTCACATGGTATACTTCCAAATACTTGTCTACTGATAGTCGAGTTTTGGTATCTCGATATTTATAAGTAGTGCGATAGTTACCGAAGAGAATGAAATTCGCTATTTATACACAATCATTTCACGGTATATCGATAAGAATTGATAAATTTCAGTTACTTTTGAAACAAAATAAACTGGACTACCGTCGTTTAACTGCATAGTACTGTGAATGAAATGGTTTGGTCACTTAGATCAAATCATTCTGTAATTTCCAATGAGTTGTTGATGTGGTGGAGGATTTGGAACCAAAATTGAGATCTGTTACTCTGTCATGTGATATCGATCACTCACAAAGGCCAAAGAATATTCGTGTAGACAATATAAAGGTTGAACTGGCAGTGTTATCGAGTGAAATGGAAAAAGTATTTTCGTCGAAAACCTGGTTCCCATCGTTGAAGAATACACTTGAATCGGGTAATGTGTATGTGAATAGCACGTGGATAATTGGTGAGTGAATCGCCAATGCATAACAATTTTCTAGTTGATATCCACACTTGATCAATATGTACGGTGTTCAGTTGAGATAACATAGCTTGCAGTTTTCACCATTAAGTAGTAAATATACTGTACTCCATTTCAGATATCGTTTCAGTGAGTGGTAAGTTCACAATAAATCCTGTAGTTTTGTGTATTGTAAAATCTGTTGAAGTCAGTGATACTGAGGAATATTGAACACAATAATCTGTGAATGTGGTGTAGGAATTTAGGAAGTGAATGATGTGTAATGATTTGTAAATGTGAATTGTCGAATGATCTGTCAGCCATTGGCCGTGGTGAGTTTTCAAACGTCTATTTATCATATAGAAAAACCATGGAAGGCCAGAATCAAGAAGTACAAAATTTTATCGACACACTAATGAAAGTTTAATGGTTCTTCCTTGAGTATGATATAAATTTCTGATGTGTGGAATACAACATATATATATATATATTTCCTGTCAGGATGTTGATAAACTGTGGTGTTTTCATGAACTAACGATTTCTTTTGTATTTGATGGCTGTTTTAATTCGAATTCCGAATGCAATAAATTCCTTTGTGGTCATTTAGCACTTCTCGGTTAAATTGCGTTATTTCTGGGATTTATGGATTTCTGTTTCGGTGAAGTTTATACCTCCATATTTAAAAACAGTTCATCTTCTTAACAAATTGATCAATATCCAAACGAGAATTGCAATGCTTTTAGTAGACCGACATCTTTTTCATTTAGCTAATAATTAATTTGCATCAATTTATCACTTCATCTTTCCTGACCGTAATTCATTTGCAGTTTTCACTGATGAATATTGGTTGATCGTTTGTCAAAGTATAGATTATTGTCTTTATATTTCTCTTCTATCATTTAAGTTGTGAATTGCCTCACTCACTGCATAAATGTTATCACCGACTTGAAATATTGTAAAATGGTCATGTGTGAATGATGACACCGCCTGCAATCCTATATCATCACATCATATTACTGACCATTAGTTCTCTTTATTCCTAACATTCAGCTGGTCAGCGCAAATTACTGTAGTGCCCTGTCGCACTCAACTTGCCATACGTTTTGAATAAATCACTGATTACAAATTACGCCACTGTAAATTCCACAAATATGATTCTCCATCACTGTTTATCTATCCTGTGGTAATGTCACGAATACCATTCAGTATATGTTGTAAATCGCTTTCGAAGTTTAAACGTGAATATTTGTGAAGACGTAATGAATATCACAATTCTACCGATAGTAGGTGGTCTATTCATCTTAACCAAACTGTCGGTCTTTGTGAATTTGTTGTACAGGACGGAGCATGCAACACTCAGGGCACAACCTTTTAGCTTTGGCGTAAAAACGAAATACCCGTTTCAAAGTATGAATGGTAGTACTAGGTGCTAAGTATCACACAGTTAGTAAATGAACTGATCACACAGCAACTACTCACTTTCCGCACAAATTTCAGACCATTTATGCATTATAGCTGGTAACAGATTCTGATAAAATAACTTCAACGTTAGTTTCGCACACCAACCACAAATACCTTATCACAGCTACGAACAAAACGTGGAATTTCTGATAGAGAACAAAAGTCCATCAAAATCATTACCTGAGCTACATATCTTTTCCACCGTCTCAAACGGGGAATGTTTAGATTTGACCTGAGTTCACAAACTGTTAAAATTAAAATCACACTCCATGTCCATAAGTTCGTTTTACAATATAAAGGATAAATAACCTGTAGAAGACAATAAACAATGAGATATTTCATCACTTTGCAATTGAATGATAATCATTAATATTATTGGAAGTTTGACTGAACAAACATCCACATTCTACAATCATCACAGATGTCTAACATTATTCAACGGACCTAATAATCACTCCGTCACTCAAGCTCACGAGTAGAATCGAGCATGTCAACAATTTGATCTGGGTGAGATAACCCAGAACTAGATCAAACTCTCAATTTCTGCCAGCCGATAGCAGTCACAATCTGGTTCTGAAATCCGTACTCATATTTACGCACTCATGGAGCAGTGCAAACCCCTAATACTTCACGTTGTGACGGTGGAGTTCCAATTTGTTCTAAATGTAGACCGTGACAAGAAGGTAATTGAAAAGAAAAGTGGTGCACGAACAATGAATCAATTCGCCCTGAAGGCTGGACATCAAGATAATATAAAAGAAGATTCTCGGTTTAGTGGTGGTCGACATAATGGAAAATATGCACATATAAAACTGATAAGTGCAACAAGTGTCCGTGAAGCGATCATATAATAATGACGGGATCGATGTCCAATTTCTTAGTAATCGTTTTGTCATTTCGACCTTGAATTAAGGAATTTCGCAGCTCAATATATACTAATTTCATCTTCAATATTCTCACTGATCACTTTAAATACATGTGGAGTGGTTTTGTCACATATGAGAATGTTTCGTTTATATTACAATTATCACAACGACTTGGCATGGTGCACGGAATCAGACTAAAATAATACAATGGGTAATGCTCGACGTGCAAAATGTCGTTGCATTTTATTCTTAATGTAAACTGCGAAACCTATGACACTAATTAGCTTGAAATCTTTACTATTTTTAGCGGGAGAGAATTGCATGCTGACACATTGAGAATACGGAGATGCTGATGAATGTTGCACATCCAATTGTTTTATGCCGATAAATTGGTACAGAGATCTTCACATTAACTGTACCACGGAAATGGAAACGCATAATGATTAAGAAGTTTACTTGCACTATGAATGGACTGAGCGTACATCACGGTGAGCCTGAATGAATTTAATCTTGGAACATTTGTTTTCTTACATCAACATAAATTCATTTGTATGAGACTCTCACACCATCATACTTTTTCAACGCCTTTGAGGATATTTCAGCCGGAAACTGAATAGGCGCATACGCAAGTTGACAGGGAATGTATGGTCAGGATGGAGTGAAATTAAACGGTATGGTAAATGTTTTAATTTCAGGTTCTCAAGTAACACTGGTGTGTGATAATGAAAGGGGTGACCAAAAGATGAAAAATAGTTGGATGAATTTATCAAAGATTGAATGACTATTTGTTTGGACTCTATCTCGTTACACGTGATGGTTACTTTTATTGATTTTTTGAATGATGGTCTCATTCACATTGGTTTTGACCTTGGTATAGTCTAGAAAATGTGGCATCGACCAATCGGATAACTTCTATCCTTACACTTGCCAATCACATATGCTTTAATTGTGACTAGAATGACACGTTATCATTGTATTTAAACAGGAATCAGGACGTAAACTGTGTAATTGATTTCAGAAAACTTGATGAATTACAGAGAGCAAATATGTTTAGATCACAAGTAGCAGTTGTTTGGTTTCTCTTCTTTTTCCTGATCTGCAATGCGGGTAAGTTTGAAACGTTTCTAAATGTGCGTTTTCATCTTTACTTTCATTCATATGACGATCTACTTGACATAAATAATCACTCAGTAATAATTTCGTTAGTCACTATACGGTGATGAACCGTTTTAAATATTTTGATTGACCAGGAAGTCGCCCGTCATTAGTGTGCGTTGACGAGCACTCTTCATGTCGTGAAAGATGTTTACACTTATTCGATCTCCACATTGAGCATTGGTTCTCCTACAATCACAATATAATTCACTGTTGAGTATCAATCAGTATGGAATCATACTAAGTTCTGCTTCCTTATGACTAATTTCGAACAGCTCACGGGTAGTATAATAAGTCAAATGCCTTGATAGTCTACAGGCTCCAATAAAGCCTTGCCCAAGTCATTGATTAATAAATAAGAAGTCATCGTTCGTGTACTGCAAGCATTTTGAAATTTGCTAACATGACGATATTAGAAAGCAATATTGTCCTGTCAAAACTACATGACATTTACCCGTATCACGTGATACAATGTGACTGCAGCATAAGTTGTAATACTTGCCCGTTTGTAATCCTTATCGAAGAACCATAAAGAAAGTATTCGTTCAACATTGTTCTTACTTACTATCAATACGAACGACTGAAGTTTTCAATAGATCCCCATTGGATGATATAAACAGTGGAAGAATGTCCTGATTGAACGCGTAGTGGAAAACGTGAATTTACTTCGTATTTCTCCTTAGTAGAAGTAATGACAGACTTTAAATCTAAACATTTAGTGAAACTTTGAAGTGAAGCTTTCATACAACCATGATGCTCGGAAACAGATGGTTTCTGAAAAATGATAACTATGAATAATAAACGACGAAATCCTCTGCGAATTGATTATTTATGATTGTTTCTGTCCGTTATAATAAGATGTTTCAAATCCTTAGTTCGAATCATGTGCTGACCCTTGTTTGGCTAACAGTGATGACCGGAGAACACGCAAGAAGTGATTCGTTCTAGTATGGAAACTCAAATTAATGAACGACAACTGTTAAACGACAAATTGTACTCGTGAACAGTTCACCAGACTGTGTCGGCACCCAGTTTTTCAAATCCTGTACCACAGCCAGTCTACACTGTTATCGCTACGTGGTTTTCAGTGTAACGTGAACAATCTATGTGTACTTCTTGCGCCGATAACAAAACCATGACGAGTTGACGGATGAACCTCCACATAGCGCTGTGAACATATTCGAGTGTCATCAGTCTCGTTGTAGATGAAGTTGTCAGCAGGAGAAATGAATAAATGGCACTCAATGGAAGCATACTGGACCGCACATCACATGGAATAGGATCCGATGTTTCACAGGTTTCACAGGAAAACAGACAAGACTCTGTGAATTTTGATGATCACTTGAACTCCTACTTCAATGTAAAGGAGTTTGAAGTACAGTAGATCAAATGGATCACCGTAGACGTGTTTAGTCGATTGATCAAGCAAATGTCTATTGATGTGAATATGTGTGTGCTCTCAAATGAAAGACGAGAATTAGTGATTCCAATAAATTTCGCTCACGATGTCATACGAAATCAAACAGCTAATATTATTCTGAATGATTCTTGATAAACATGCACCTAGTTCGTTCGTTGGTTGGAGTTCATTGTCAGTAATAGCTAAAATCGTTGTTCATGCTGATAGCCACTAGTCAGCAAAGTCTGTCTGAAATTTTGAAGGAAGTGTTGCATTACAGTGTGTTGGACCCCATGTAAAATAGCTCCACAATCTGTGATATCAACAGTGAGCTATTCTTCGACAGCTGGACTCTTGTCTATAGGCGAATTCCTTGTTGACTGAATACTGTTTAGTGGCTAATCCACTCAATGTTAAATGCCGTTAATACCATTATGTAAACGTGATGCTAGTCACTACTCACTGACCAATCAATTGTTGTGTCTACTCGTCAGTAAACTGATGAAGCGTTTCTCAATTCATGTGAATGTCTCATCTTCATAATTTCCATTGTTTTTTGTTGACGTCACAGGAGATCAAGAAGTGGCAGCTGAGACTCTTGAGTTTTCAAGTAAAGGTAAGTTATTTGAACGGTAATATCATGTGATGAACTGCCTTTACATCACGTTTCGTATAAAATGTTAAACGAAAGTCGTTTATTTTTGTGTATATTGAATGCAATATGCAGTACAATTTGGTTAGATGTTCAGATGCGACACATTTTGATAATTAGGAATATTTGAATTATAGTACGAACTAAGAATCCCAGAAATAACGCAATTGGATCAAGTAGTAGTATATAAGCACGAAGGATTGTACTGTATTTCGAATTCGAAACCAAACATTCAACAGTTACAAAGGAATCATTATTTCATTCACACACCACACACATATTCTTATCTTACATCCGAACTACAGTGAATATCGTCATGCGCTACGGTTTTCATGGTTTCAGTTTGGAAGAAATTGAAGTGACCATCCCAGTTCTGTATGGTTTGATGTATTATTGATTCTTGCTTTAGCTCATTCACTTAGTAACTCCTAATCAGTAATCGTATATTGGATCACTCTGTCTAGACACGTTCGAAATGCTTCATGTACGATTTCCTGCGCGATAGTTTACTGCTGTTTTGAATGACTTTCGTGTTTGATTTGTGCCTGCATCTAATATATTTGAATTCCGGTTTGTTTTAGATATCGTTGTAAACACACTATCTGTCCGTGTTAAGGAGTGGAATGAAAGAATTGAAAAGGGTTCAGCAGGAGTATCTCTAGGGTTTTTGGATAGATATTGTGCAAATGTAAGTCTAGAAACTCTCACTCGAGTTAGAATGATCACTTTCACAAAAACTTCAACGAAATAATCTGACGGATAGTGTTTTCATGTGATTTCTTGAAGGTTATGGATGTGGTGAAGGAATTGGAACCAAAATTGAGATCTGCTACTCTGTCATGTGATATCGATCACTCACAAAGGCCAAAGGATATCCGTGTAGACAATATAAAGGTTGAACTGGCAGTGTTATCGAGTGAAATGGAAAAAGTATTTTCATCGAAAACCTGGTTCCCATCGTTGAAGAATACACTTGAATCGGGTAATGTGAATGTGAATAGCGCGTGGATAATTGGTGAGTGAATCACCAATGCATAACAATTTTCTAGTTGATATCCACACTTGATCAATATGTACGGTGTTCAGTTGAGATAACATAGCTTGCAGTTTTCATCATTAAGTAGTAAATATACTGTACTCCATTTCAGATATCGTTTCAGTGAGTGGTAAGTTCACAATAAATCCTGTAGTTTTGTGTATTGTAAAATCTGTTGAAGTCAGTGATACTGAGGAATATTGAACACAATAATCTGTGAATGTGGTGTAGGAATTTAGGAAGTGAATGATGTGTAATGATTTGTAAATGTGAGTTGTCGAATGAGTGAAAGAGTCAGTCAGTTGTCATCAACTGCAAAATAATATTTATTGTGAATTTTAGATCCAAAAGCCGATGTCCGTGGTGAGTTGTTCTATATATGAGGCTGTTGATTTGAATTTGGATTTCCTGTTATTTCTTGTTGGCTTCAATAGAAGTGTGTGTGAGTGTGACAGGATGACATGGGTTGATTGCTTTGTTTGGGACTTTTGTGTGAACTGAATGACGGGTACCAGTCGAACGTAATATCGGAGATGCAATTGTATTGAAATTATACAGTTTATTGAATGTGTCCGGGAACGTTCGACTCGTTAAGGCCGTTTTAATTGATCGCCATAATTTGCTCAGTCACACGCTCCTGACTTTGAGATGCTTGTAAATATTCGACACACAAACACACTCGCATTAAATTCACACAGCGGAACCGAGTGATTGATCAGAAATATCATTCAACTGATATACTGTGTATCACTCCGTTGCATTTCAGTGATTTTCTCACCATAGACAAGGTCACGTGTTCTTCGGCACGTTGGTTTCGATCTGTTCAGCTCAACAGTGTTCAGATTGCCAATCGTGTTGAGAATTTGATCATAAACTTTGATAACCATTCCTGCACCAGTTCCACGTCCCCGTCACAACGAACGTCACAATGGTTTGACCGAGTATGAGATCATCAGTGAATTTAAATAATCTCTGAACAATCTCACTGTTTTTATCACAGATTCCTCGGTCAACACGAAAATCGATATGTTGTTCAGCTCACAGTGCCCACTGAATAGAGTGGTTTGATTAACAAATCGATTTATGAAATATTTTGTTGAGAGTGAATATTCGTTTTACAAACTATATTTAATGAAATGTGTACATTTTAGATTCCTATCTGTTCCAAAAAACCTATCCTACGAGATCAGTAACTACTGATAAGTGCCCTGAAGTGAGTTTCTATCTGGTCATGCATTATAAAGTTTTCTTGAATCCATTGCGTTTCGTGTCGATCGATCAAGTAGCAGTCACGTGTTGATTAAAAGAGTTCACAGATTTACGTTGATTGCATTAGTTTTGATATCTTCGTACCGTTAATCCCACAATTTCAACGAGAAGTCCGTCGATATTCGTTTTGATGACATTTGTTGATGAATATATTAATTTCCTGATATTCTGTAGACCTGAATGTCAATCATCAATGTTATGTGGCTTTCATATCATTTGTTATCTGCTTTCATCAGAATTTATATAAAAACAACTTCATAGAATAATGAGATCAAGTTCCCATAGGGTTCTTATATGACACATACCGACGAGTATACAATACTTAATTGTTTAAAAAGATATTGTTTCAGTAGATTACAGGATAAATATTAGTGCCATAAAACACTGTCTCAATATTTTGATTTCAGCTGAAGATCATTATGTCGAATATATATACTGGATTCGGTGAAACAATGACGAACTGCTCCTTCGATGTGCTGACAGGAGATATAAGCACGACGATGGACTACCGAGAACTTATGAAGAAAGGGTATTGCTGTTCAGAGCATAATGTATATAGAAGAATTTACTGGTCAATTTACGATTTACTATATAAGGGTGAAAGCGGTGAGTGATTCTGCAAAACAGGTAAAGAATACAAAGTTATTATCGAAAAATGTTTAGGGCAAGTGTACGCAAGTGTCGCTGAAAAATGTCGCGACAGATGGAAATAATGCAGACGAGAGCAAACACACAAGCACACACGCACACAAATGCACTCAGGCACTAGTACACAAGAACATAAGGCGATCAGTGAATGAAATTTCAGACATCAGTTCTAGACTATTTCATTATCCTATTGAACTTACTCTGCCGGTTTGTTTCTTGATGCCTTCCTGTTATTTAGGTGAGAATACGATCGAACCACGCAACATAACTCAACCCGAAATAACGATTAACAAGAAAAATACTACTCTCGGTAAGTTTGCTCAACTAACGGTTTCTCTCTCTCTCTCTGGTTAGCAAATTAAGGAGCTCGAGACATATCAACTTTTATATTTATGTGGTTAGTGAATGACTATTCAGTCATCAGTTTTAGACTGTTTCATTGTCTCACTGAACTTACTCTGTTGATTTGTTTCTCGATGTCTACTTGTCATCCAGTTGGGAATTGCCATTTTTGTATACTCATCGTATTAGTCACAAACAAAGATGCCTATCACTCGACACTCGATAGTGAAACCAGGTCGATCTCAAAGAAATTCAATTACACGGTTTAATAAAAGTCAAGCTCACGATTGACCAGCACATGTGGTCACTTTCACATGTAGTGTGTATGACTTGTGCTACACATCGATAGAACATAAAATGATACAGAGCAGTGGTGAAATTCCATTGATCTCACATGTTCTCGGTACTGGATATACTTCGACCACAGACACCATCAAGTTCCACACAACGAATTATATTGTCACTCGACAAGAACACGAATCTTCTCTTTTATGTTTACTAGTGGAAAAGTCAACCACAGTTCGTTATACGACCTTCATGACTATAAATACTTGTAGAAGTGCTGTTATTCAGGTGAATTTCTGTTGACCTTGAATCTGTCATTGCCTGTTTCTTCCTCTTGATTTCACCTCCTTTTGATCTCATTATTGATTTTATATTTGTTCATGATCTTTCTGATTGATTAGTTGATAGATCGGACCTAGTTCAATGTGTTTGTTGATCGCTGATTCACCTGAGTGCTAAGCTTCTAAAAATTCTCTGGTGCTAATAGCAATCCCTCTATCCAAGATCTCAACATTTTTCTAGTCGAATGTGTGACCATAGTTGTCTAAATTCATTGATATAAGCGAGAATATATCATGGCGTCTGACTGCCAATCGATGTTCGTGTAGGTCAAGATGAAGATACTATTCACTTTGTTCGATGTATCGGTCATTGCAGCTGGAACAATTCATTTTGCAGATGATGTTCGGTTTTACTTCTTTCACGGTTTCGTCCTTTTCTTTGCATAGAATTGATTGAAGTGACTTTGCTGGGTTGTGTGCAAACCAATTCCAAACGGCTCCGACAACCTCGTTGTCATTTACTGTGTGTATTTCATATGTGTTAGGACGATTCGGTTGTTGGATTCTGTGCTTGATTTTGTTTCTGCCGACGCATTTGGTTGCTAGTTTTGTTGCAGTTGACCGGATAGCCGCTCTTTTGATGAGAATATTCTTCAGGTATTTTCCCTCATCTGTCGCGCCACAAGTGTGTTGCAGTGCGTCTCCACCCTCTTGAATAAAGTTTGTGCGCAGTTGAATTTGTGAGTTCATGGGTTGTTTCTACTGTAATTGGTCTTGGTCGGCTTACGATTTACTTGAGTTCCCAGTTTCACTGAGTCAGTTTTGTTGATCAGAACATTCATGTATGATCGTTTGTTGTTCAACCCCATTTTCATTATGATATGTATGCCATCAAATATGCTGTTGATCAGATTATATGTGTTTTACAACTCGTACTTTTCGACGATGACCAACTTGTCGTTCACATAATAAATCCAAAGCTTTGATTTGTTCACTGGCAACATTGAGTTAATGCACCACTGCTAATTATGAGTGTACTTAATCTTACCTAGGAGTTGTATAGGACTTTTGATGAAGTGAACGGATGAAACCACTGAATGTTTCACTTCACGTCAAGTGTCGCTGAAAGATGTCGCTACAGATGGAAATAATGCAGACAAGTTTAGGCACAAAATCAAACACGCATACAAATGCACTCAGGCATTAGTACACAAGAACATAAGGCGACCAGTGAATGAAATTTCAGACATCAGTTCTAGACCATTTCATTACTCTGTCGGTTTATTTTTCGATGTCTTCCTGTAATTTAGATGGAAAAACGACCATACAGAGAGAAATATCTCAACCTGGAACAACGACTGATAAAGAAGAAACGTCTCTCGGTATGTTTGCACAATTGATGATTTCTATCTCTCCCTGATTAGTAAATCAACGGTCTTGAGACATGTCACTTTTGAACTTCATATGCTGGTGATCATTGTCTCCAGCAACGTTTTTCCACAACTTTGTTTCACTTTTCTGATTCATTGGCATATGTTTTGTGCTAGTTCGTAACACCTGTTTCTTTATGCTCGATATCACAAAGTCGGTTTACGTCATGGTGTAAATTACGTCTTGTTGAATTTTTCCATCAAAATTATTTTCAAGGTTTGCCGTCAATTATACGAATCTCTGAATTAGAAAACTTGAAAGTGAACTATACAGGTAACAATAAAAATTGATCATACTGGAACAACTTCTTTGCATTTTATCACGAATATATTCGAGCACATTTTTCTACTTGCGATTTGTCAGTTGTCAGTATCATGATTAAGATTATGTGGATGTAGTGCACACATATTACACATATGCAACAACACTAATGTGATCTCAGCGAAACTATCAACAACGGGATTATTCTTCTGAGTGATCTCATTTGCACAAATCCGAGGTATTAGCGAACCTGACATTATCTGTCTCCTTATTTCGATTATATCTCGCTTCGACCTAATTCTTGGTTCTATTTTCGCAGATGAATATTTCGATTGATTGAAAGTCTGTAATGATTTCGATGTGTTTGTTAATTGCTGATTTAGTTAGGTGTCAAGTTACGGAGAGATCCTATGGTGTACGTAGTATCCTTTCTATCAAGGATTTCAATATCTTTCCAGTCAAACGAGTATTCACAAATGTTCTTATGCAATGATCCAAACGAAGATTTATCATAACGTTTTACTGTTAATTGATGTTCATGAGGACAAACATCAAGGAGGCATCAACGTTGTTCTATATTGAGATTTTCGTCATTAGAACGGTCTATTTAGTAAATGACTTTTGGTTGTTTGCTACAGTCGTTTTGTACTGTGGTTTGCCAACGATTGCTAATAGTGTGTTTGCTGGCCCTTCAACTACATCTGTCAGCTGTCATACGACGCAGTCGTTAATCCTTATTTCTACCGACCTGTGTGCCATGTTATTTGGGTATGCTTACATAAATGCTGAAGTATGTGATGATAATGTTGCTTGTGGAAACAATGGGAAAAGGGTGATCGATCAAATCGACCAGTCAAATCAACTCCTGTAAGCCCCTTCAACGAGATGCAAACCACCTACTCCATCTCCAACTTTATTTTTCCTAAAGTGATAATTTAATTGTACTGCGTATTTGTTTCAGTAGGAACAGGCAAACATAATGATAGCCGTCTATTTTAACTTTGTTGGAAGTTTATTTATATATCAATTTATCACTTCAATTTTTCTAACCACAATTCATTTGCAGTTCTCACTGATGAATATTACTTAATTGTCTTTCAAAATATAGGTCACTGTATCTATGCTTCGTTTCCATCTGGTAAGTTGTGAAATATGTCGCTCAATGCATAAACGTTACCATGGAATTCACATGTTGTACAATGATCACATGGGACTGATGACATTGCCCGTAATCATTTACCGTCATGTAACATTACTCACCATTACTCCTGATTATTCTTAACTTTCAGTTTGTTATGGCAAATTATTGTGGTGCCCTATTGCACTGAAATTATCTACGTTATAAGTGAATCATTCATTACAACTTATATTACTGTGGATTCCACAAATATGATTCTCTGTGATTGTTTATCTAGATTGCGTAAATGTTAAGGATACCTGTCAGTATCTGTTGAACATCGCTTTTCAATTTCAAAGTGGATGCAAGTGAATACGTAATGGATGTCGTATTCTTCCTTTCCTCCCTTGATACTAGTAGCCCGATCAAACCATGAGTCTCCGTGAAAGTATTGTGAGTGAGAAAAACAATCGGAACACAGAACACGACCTATTAGATTTGTATGAAACCGGAACAGCATAAACATAGCAAGCAGTAGAAATACATTATCCATGTGATAATGTCTACATCGTGGAACTAGACCACCAACCACAAATAATTTAGCATAACTTGTAGAAATACAAGAAACCTTCGGATCGGAGTCGGGTTCACTCTCAAGTCGAGGTATACAGACTCTCTTAATTCACAACGACAAGACCATGTGGCGTCGGTTTTCAATATACAGATGGGATAACCTGTTTAGGACGTCAATGAAATAACTTTTCAAACAAAATCTGTTAACAATTTGCAATGTTGGTGATTTGCTCTCAATAAACCATCCACTTACTGTTGATATTCTCTGAATAACCAAAAACAGACTGACAGTCTGTTATGCCCTTTTCAAGCTGGTCTCACCAACTCACTTTCACATCAAGTGCTGTCAAATCAAGTCGACAATATTGAGACTGTAAACAAAAGTGCTGTATACAGACGTCTGTTATCAATGTAATTCGAATATGTGACGACCGTTACAGGGTCTAACGCAGTTCCGTTCCTTAAGGTCACGACTTATATTCATGAAACGCGAATCAATTTGTTGGTTAACGAAATCACGATTTCAACAGCCGATAGACTCATGTAAATATTTATCGGTTGAGGTGGCCTCATCAAACAACAATACGGCAATAGGGAGTATGCATGTCAAGAAAATTGTTACAGTTGTAGTTTCATTTCATGATTTTCACTGTTCACTTGATTTACAAATTAACAGATCAGTCAAATGAAGAGTGACAAGTGAGTAGTGAATCGTTGTGTTATAGTTGGATGTTAACAAATATCTGTGTTTTTAAATTTATCAGTAGTTTCAAGTTTCGTTGAAAAGTGATGGTAGATAGACAGTTCATTTAAACATGACCATGTAGCATGGTAGTTACTGTTCATAAAATGCTTTCAATTTCGAGTCACAGACTGTGGTTGTTGGATGAATATGGTTCGATCAAAATGTTTTGTAACCATTTGTGAAAATGTGTTCAATTTGGATGTGATCAACATTCACTTGTCAACATCAATGTTACCCGTGCAAATCGGTAATTGTTCCAGAATCGCTGTATACATGTGCCCTCAATATGTGTATATTCATTCAGACGATTATAGTGAAGCAGAATATTTGCTTTAGTGTTGCACAAATTGTGATAGGACACAATTGTTGTCCACCGATCAAACACAATTGACAAATTAACGTTGAACTAACCGTCATCTAATCCCTCGACTACAATACTCATTACCATTGATTAAATTTACACCCTCCTTTTTGTTATATCATTACACATTGCATGCTCGGTTATCAGTCTCATTCAAAAGCATATTACTACCAAGAATCATCAAAGCTTTCATACACTTTTCTTTCAGATGACCCAATCAAATCAAATTAAATAAACACTGTTTTAGTCTGTAGTAAACTTAACAATATTCTTGAATCACATTCTGTAATTTTAACACACAATACATGGAATATGGTAATTAAATTGTTGACTCTTATTATCTACATTACTTTTGAAAAGAAAACGCTGAGTATTTGTTTGCAGTGAATAATATGCATAATCACTATAACATTGTAGCGAGCGTACGTGAGTAGACAAACACGAATTGGCTTTTAGGATGTCTTGTTTGTGAAAATGATTTACTTCAAAGATATTCCACGTACAATGACTGAGTTTCGTAAGTTTGTTCACCGAAAATCATTAAGTCGGTTGTATTCAGTGGTGATTCACATGTGCAACGAATTGAGGAAGGTTAGTTGAAATTAGCCGATGGCACATCATCCAATAGGTGAACAACATGAATTTCCTACACTTATTCATTCATGTCATGTGTGTTTTAGGAAATATCCTCGGTTAAAACTCATCAGATACCAGTTTGTGATTTCTCGAATTGTGCTTCTCAAATACAGAATCTTTCTCAATTAGCGCAAAATGCTTTGTAGGTGATTGTCGGCCTGACTTTACTCGTCATTATTTCCTTCGATTTGGATTGCATTGTTTGCAATGCTTCTTAATAATTATGACTGTTCACAAGCGATCATTCGTCTGTCCGTGATCTCGACGATCTTCCCCATTCACGGCGAAACTATCCGTTAACTGATTTGTGCGGACTATTCTGTATCTGATAGTCGATACAGTGAATAATCCCTAATGAATTATAGTGAATGACTGATTCCTCAAAATACACATGCTAAGTCGTGGTCATGCTCGCTTCGGTTCCCTCTATTTATTCTCTATTCATGCATTGTAGGTTTTCCGTATTTTCTTATGCTACTTGGTGATATTCGGCATCCGATGCAGTTGGAATGATTTCTGTACGTATGATGTGACGTATGTTGGTTTGTTGGATAAAGTTTTGGTGTGTTCACATCAACTAGAAACATTTAAAAAATGGCTATCAAGTCTGCTTTCCTCAAAGCTTGTAACAGTCGTCTCCAGGATTCCTGCATTTTCCAGATCTCTGCTCAAACTTGAAAGTTTCCATTTTTGAGCTCTCTGAGTCTGCGTTTGGACTGATACTGTTACATAAGAAAGTCCCCAACATATAACATCTAATTAGGAACTTATTGAATAATTGATAGTTAAAAGCCTTACTTCAATACGGTCGATCGCAGTAACATTAATGCTTATTATTTGAAGAGTAATTACGTAACTCCTAGTCGGATTTTCTATTTAGGCGATTCCAACCATCCAGTAGACCTACAAATTACGTTTAAAGTCAGCCTCTACCAACGTACTGAAATCTCAACATAACTGAGTCAACATTACTTTCGAACGTAAAGTCAGAATCTGACACGCAAATGAGACGAAAATAGAACTGTTTCCTAAGACAAACGATAGGCCTAATCGCATGTTATTCTGCAGAAACAACATTGCCTAGTGTACAGTTTTCGATTGTGAGAGCGTGATAATCTGACACTTAGCAAATTTTTTAACCTAATGATATTTATCTGTCGCTGGCTCGATCATTCATCAGGTAACCATGGATATATGGAATTCATAAAGTTGGAAGAGCATTATGGGAGTTTGTGTCCTCTTTACAGTATGTGTTTTGATGAACCTTTCAGCTGGATATAACACAGACAGGTAAATTTTAAAACACCTACCTGGACAATCACGTGTTATTGCTCGAAAAGTGATGGAAATTTTAGTTTATGATGCGAACAATGAATAAAGTGATGCTGAATGGACGTTTCCAAGCTTACAACATATTTTTGTGCCTCAAAGTAATATTTTTGATGAAATCGTCTATGCCTTAGAACAACAAATTTCCAAATGCTGGTTTAGAACAAAACAGAGTTCTCCGTTCACGAAGTGGAATCGGGTTGTAGTGTGGCGTCGAATCGCGGTTGACTGTGATCACCACTACAGGAAGACTACGTGCCAGTTAACCGATAAGATCCCTCGTAGGCCAAATATGAGAAGGCAGTTGGTGGCTGTAGTCGAGATGTGTTTGTTGGTGATCTCGTGGTATCAAAAAAATACCGAGATCGTTTCAGGTTATAAGTGGGGTTACTGAGCCTAACCGAATTCATGCAAGGTCACAAACAACGGAAGAATGTATGTATTTTGGTACAGTTAAACAAACGAGTACGGTGAAACAATCCCTGGTAAAATTGGTTATAATAATAATTGTTTCCATTACACCAATCGCGTTCTCTTGATAAAAATAGGTGGCTAAAGATCTTCGCGAATAACGCGAAAGCCAAATTTAATTCAACAGCCTCATAGATAGGACAACTTACCACGGCCAATGGCTGTCGAATCTAAAATTCACAATAAATATTATTTTGCAGTTGATGACAACTGACTAACTCTTTCACTCATTCGACAACTCACATTTACAAATCATTACACATCATTCACTTCCTAAATTCCTACACCACATTCACAGATTATTGTGTTCAATATTCCTCAGTATCACTGACTTCAACAGATTTTACAATACACAAAACTACAGGATTTATTGTGAACTTACCACTCACTGAAACGATATCTGAAATGGAGTACAGTATATTTACTACTTAATGATGAAAACTGCAAGCTATGTTATCTCAACTGAACACCGTACATATTGATCAAGTGTGGATATCAACTAGAAAATTGTTGTGCATTGGTGATTCACTCACCAATTATCCACGCGCTATTCACATTCACATTACCCGATTCAAGTGTATTCTTCAACGATGGGAACCAGGTTTTCGACGAAAATACTTTTTCCATTTCACTCGATAACACTGCCAGTTCAACCTTTATATTGTCTACACGGATATTCTTTGGCCTTTGTGAGTGATCGATATCACATGACAGAGTAACAGAACTCAATTTTGGTTCCAATTCCTTCACCACATCCACAACTCATTTGAAATCACAGAATGATCTAATATAAGTGACCAAACCATTTCATTCACAGTACTATGCAGTTAAACGACGGTAGTCCAGTTTATTTTGTTTCAAAGGTAACTGAAATTTATCAATTCTTATCGATATACCGTGAAATGATTATGGGTAAATAGCGAATTTCATTCTCTTCGGTAACTATCGCACTACTTATAAATATCGAGATACCAAAACTCGACTATCAGTAGACAAGTATTTGGAAGTATACCATGTGAAAACTAATTAAGATACTTTTAATTTAATAATTTTGTTGCGGGAGTGGATCATGGGTGAGCTCAAGGAAGCTCAAAGAAGCCCAGCTGAAGAACCATCCATTCAATCATGTTTTGGAAGAATATTCCTAAATCTCTACATATAGCTTCCGCATTGTACAAATGCTTAAACCACCTGTACGCGGATTGCATGACTATAATGATGATTTTGTTCTACTAAAAAGCCATAAATACCTGATAGATTTGTACCATACTTGACACTGTTTGAAATAGAATTCCTTCTCACCAGCATTTGAATGCTCAAGTTGTATGCAGTATAGTAAGAATCCAAGCTCTATATATAACAGTTATCTTCCTCTCTACCTTCAGTCAGTGAATTCTTACGATACATGAATCACTTATATTTTCACAGAAGTCATCGAAAACTCCAAATGATTGACGAAGTGACCTGTCTTTAACTGCCTTATCCCGGCCCTCATTTGAACTTTCAGTATGCTCTCAACAATATTTGAAATTGCTGAGAAATAAAGAATGTGACATGCACATATGTTCCACTATAATAACTGATGAGATGATGAACAATGCAAGACGACCAAATAAACAATCTCACTGTTTGCGAAGGGAAGTGTTCGTCGGTTAACAAAATCCAACAGTAAAAGTGTGCCATTAGTGTTGTTGCTAAATCGGATCAGCAGACCTATTGATTTGCGAATGTTATAACAACTCTTTT